ATCGGAATGCTGGTTATTCAACATTATGCAAGATTGCAGATATACATTCCAGTAAACTAGCAACATTCGAAGATGATACAGAACTGTCACCAAACGACTTGACGTTCTTCAAATATGCTCCTGTCACATCATGTGATGTGGAACGAAGTTTTTCCAAATACAAAACTATCCTTAGTGATAATCGGCGATCTTTCAAATTTGAAAATTTGAAAATGCATGTAGTTATAAATTGCAATTGTAACAGTGAAAATTGAGACGTGAATAACTCAGTGAAAATTGAGACGTGAATAGCTTGTGTTCTTTTAAATGGTGTTTTTAGATAACAGAGTTAAGTTAGTGTTCATACCATGTGCACCAGTGTTTGTCTAAAATATGAACGCAAATATCAGTATTAAAAAGAAAACAATGAATGGTTTAATCCAGTACGAAATGTCGAAATTCCATCAGTTTTCTTTCCTTCAGAGACATAATAGGGCTAATTTGGTAAGTAGGACCTACTATCATATATTCATCATCTTTATTCTTAAACTCTAGTAAAAGTTGTAATTAAAATTGTGAAATTTTATGTCCAATTTAATATTTAAGGTCATATTTTACACTTTTTAGGTCATAAGTGCATGCATATATTTATAGTTTTTAGGTCATAAAAATCCGGGCCCTAGTGATGAGAGTGATGAAGTTCATGAAGTCTACTCTTCCAAAATATGATCACAGTGATAAGGTGAAGGGTGATAGGTGAAACACTATATTCTCTTTTGTGGGAAAGCTTGAAATCAAGTGATCACTGGAAAGCTTAGCTTCTTTGGAAGGATAAAATTAAAATGCATCTGAAATGGAACATGAGGGTATGGCCTGGATTTAATAAAACCAAGATGGATTCCATAGACTGCTATAAATATGATAAATTTTTACCTACTACAAAGGGGAGGCAGTTTCTTTTGACCAGCAAAGTGACTTATCTTACCAAGAATAGCTTCCTCCCTGGACTAAATTGTATAATAATCTCATATAATAAATAATAACTTCTTTAAAGCTGGAAGGAATGATGACTTATTTCTGCATCAAATTAACACTTGGCGGACCGGCGATTTAAATATTTAAATCACCCTGGGCACCGACATTTTTATACCTACTACCCTAACTTGTGCACTGATCAATTTAAAAATTAATATAAAATCTCCTAATTAATTTTATGAACTAAAATTTTTGGAGAACACTTACCAATGCTCCTAGAAGTGCTTGAGAGAGTGATATTTCTGGAAACATTCCCCTTTGTGAAGTGCCATTACACACTTGCAAATGTAGACAGTCATAGTCCTTTTTTGTGAACTGCGCAAACATGGCATTGCCTAGAATGATGCTTCCCCTTGGAATGTTCACTCTTCACAATTTTAATGAGGGTATGTTTCTGCATATCACCCGAAAGTCACCCAGGGGTGTCCACATGAGGTCTGCGTGGGGTGGGAGTAGACGGGCCCGGTCGTACTAAGACTGTGTCTGCCACCAGTTCTGCTGCCACCATGTGGTCTGTAGCCCAGGCTTTTGCCACATTCAGCAGAAATGCCTTGTATTTCAATTTTGAATGAGGGTTTAGACTTTTGAAAACCAAAAATTAATTGAAAATGGCACAGTTTATAAGCCACAAGGCAACTTTCTTTGTCCACTTTACTCTTTTCCGAGGAAGAGAATAATAGGCCAAGTACTGATTGGCTCTATCAACTCCCTTCATGAACATATTATACTCGGAAATACAAACAGGCTTCTTTACTTGTCCATGTCTCCTTTGAACATCAACCATGCTCGAATTGTGAATTGTGGAAATCATATTCACAACACGAGTATCCCTCCAGGACTGAAGAGGAATATCCCCTTTCCTCATATGGTTTCACAACGTTTCAGGGATTTACATTCCTCTTTCAGATCTGGAGGAAGGCCTCTGTAATACTAAGGACACGTCTTCAAACTGAGACTAAGTAAAAGTCCAACTTGTGAGAGGTGTCAAGAAGAAAACGAAACAGCCACACATATCCTGTGCGAATGTGAGGCCTTAGCTTATTTAAGATTGCGTCACTTGGGTAAATATTTTATGGAACCAAGTGACTATTTCGACGCCCCCACATACAAGATCCTGCGCTTCATTCGAAGTGCAGGATTCTTGAGGGGATAATCAGAAAGGGAGGAACAATAGATCACTGTGCTTGCGGTGCAAGGGCCAAGAAGGCCCACCCCCTTATACATTCATTCATTCATTCAAGGTAAACATTGGAAGACACATTAATGCATATAACAAAACAAACTAAATAATAATAATAATAATACAGCCCACAAATGCATAATACTGTTTAATTCTGTGATTTACTATGTAATAGTAGTGTAGCTTGACTTTAATTGACTCAGTTACCCATACATGTTGATTGAGACCCACAACGCCACACATAACTGCTTTATCTCTGTGTACTCTCTCACATCTACCCTTTTTAACACCTGTTTGATCATGAGTTTCAAAATTATTTCTCATAATAGGGGAGTTTTTCATGTTGTTTCCTCTTGTTTTGCAGAGTACTCCAAATGGACCCCAACCCATGTGCAGTGGGGAGCAGCGATATTCCTATGATGAGTGTGATAAATCATTCACTCAACAGTGTAATCTAAGGGTTCACTGCAAGACACATCAACACATACACAGTAGGGGGAGGCCATTTTGCTGTGACGTGCATAACAAGTCATTCAGTAATAGCAGTAATCTTAAGGTACATCAGCGCATGCATAGTGCTGACAGGCCTTTTTGCTGTGATGTGTGTAATAAGTCATTCAGGTGGCTGAGTCGTCTGAAGATACACCAACGTACACATAGTGGTGAGAAGCCTTTTTGCTGTGATGTGTGTACTAAGTCATTCAGTAAAGGCAGTAATCTGAAGAAACATCAGTCCATACATAGTGGTGACCTGCCTTTTTGCTGTGATGTTTGTAATAAGTCATTCAGTCAGCAGGTTAGTCTGAAGAAACATCAACGCATACATAGTGGTGAGCAGCCATTTTGCTGTGATGTGTGTAAGAAGTCATTCAGTGACGGCAGTGCTCTGAAGGTACATCAACGCATGCATAGTGGTGACCGGCCGTTTTGCTGTGATGTGTGTACAAAGTCATTCATTAATAGCAGTAATCTGAAGGTACATCAGCGCATGCATACTGGTGACCGACCTTTTTGCTGTGATGTGTGTACT